CGCAGGCTTGCGAAAATATGAATATCTCTATACTCCAAGATTGTATTGACAAACGGTTTAATGAGTTGGAAACTAGACTCATAGATTTTTAATTTGGTGGGTAGATCACCCCGTAATTCCGTGTAAATTGGGAGAAAAGCTTAGAAACATTTGACCTAATGTTTAACTAAAAGTATGAACCTAAGTTGCGACAATGTTTGTCGACTTTTGTTTCATTACTCGTTTGACTTCAAGACTTATGATACGGATATTATATGATTCAAATACCTTACATGACCTCTTGAGTGTATTAAGAACCTCTAGGTTTACCTGAAAATACGAGTTACAACATCCTTGATTCGTTTAACTTCTAATACTTGTTAATCACCCTTATACACCCTTGTATCACTTAAGACCAATAGGATTAACTTCTTATCATCTCAAAGGTAATTCCTTCTTGGATTTATGTTAACTAATATATGGCATAAACTAACGCGTGTGAATATGGATTGTAACAATACTAATAAAGGTGTGATAAAATAGTTAAGGTGGGTACAAATCGATTCAAATATAAACTTAATTAAATAGGCAGAGGAATTGTTAGTTTCTTGGTAATGATCTAATCTTTGTCTTTGGGTATGGGGTCTTAATGGTGACTTTGCTTTTGCGCGACGATAAAGAATGTATTTGTTCTCCTTAAAAAGTGTGCTATTTGTTTTTCTGTTTTTGAATAAAATAGACATGAGATTGGAGATATGTACCTAAATTCTGTCCAACTTTCTTTTTCATTCTTTCTCCTTATGGTTTTTTCCATTTTTGGCTTTCATGGTCTGTGGTTCCGTAAAGTTAGCTGTGCACTATAATTGAAATGTATCATACGAAGACAAAGTGAAAGAGAAGTTTTCATTTTCATATCTTATGTAGTCGTTACGCAGAAGCTCTGCCATTTTCATTTTGTCCATTAATTATATATTTTTTTTAAAAAATATGTGTGAGTCTTAGCATAACAATAAGAGTTGGGATCATGTCTTAAACTGTGAAAATAGTGTCCTACAAATATGTAGTAGGAGAAAACTAGTGCATCGGGCTACACTTTAAGAAGAGAAACATGTGAGAATCATAGTATATAGTAAGGTATTTTAAGTAATATCTTTGTTTATTTAAACTCGAATATCGTAAAATTGTGTAATGGATAATCTTGAAAAAGAAGACTATGATATTCCATTCTCTCTTTTTCCTTATTCCTAAGTTCCAAATGCTCAGCTTAAACAAGTTTTTCTAGATCTGAAAGCATGTTTTATTCTGTTCTATTCGTTAAACTAAAAGGTAATGTATGAGTCCTTATGTTCTCATAACAAGCAGCACAGTACTAAACAAGTCAATTGCACAAAAAAAATCAACTTTTTCTTCATTCTGTTTTGATATAGACTAAATTATTGAAGTGGGATCAATGGATTACTGTTTTATTAGATACTATATAAAAGATAAAGTAAGAACGGACGACTTATTTTCTTGTTTCCATTTTTTACTAATAAAGTCGTGGAACCAACTCCCCTTCATTTCTTAATGTCTCCATTTCCCCAAGTTCTCACTTAGATGCATGACATGTGTCTCTCTTAATATCAATGGTTTAAATTTAATTAATTAAATTAAGCTCTTAACCATAGTTAAATAATAGATTCTCTCATGATTTACTTGCTCCCAAAAGATTTGGTAATCTCACAATTGGTAGCAGCAAATTTCCATATTTTTGTAAATGATTTTCCAAATATTTGGATGACGTATTGGAGATCACTATTTTATTTTCCTTCATTGTTTAAATGCTTATTATTTTAGTCTCGCGAACTCATTTCAAATTTAGTGAAACAATATGCTAAACTTTCGTTTTTCAGCTTCTCACAAATAACTATTTAAATCTCTCTAATGTTAAACAATTGAAATCTAAAGCACAACATATATGAAGCTATAAACAAAAAAAGAAATATCTGTACTTAAAGCGAATTTAGTGAGCGCAACAATTCAGTAACTTTCTTTTCGTATATGTTGTTAAGGTTAAAAGAGATATATTCATTGGTTCTTGTCATCCACCACCACAGTTGGTGGCGCAGCCACCGTACAAGGATCAAGGGGAAAAAAGCGTATAATAGTTGATGATATTTGCTTTTAAATAATTCTTTTGCATTAGATTGTGATTAATTTATAGTTTTATACTATATATTTTTCCTTTTTCCAATTATGCAGACATGCAATCTATTTTTTTGAAGAAAACCTGCTCCAGAATTGTGAGATTACTGCCAAATATTTGGGATATTACGGAAAAGAAGGAAATTTGTAGCTACAATTGTGGGCTTGCCAATTTTTTTGGGAGTAATATATGGAAGAATCTATTATCTAACTATGGTTAAGAGCTTGTTTTAATTAATTGAATTTAAACCATTGATATTAAAATGAGACACATGTCACTCTTCCAAGTGAGAACTTGGGGAAATGGAGAGGAGTTGGATCCGAAAGTCGTTATAGTCATTGCAGAAAGCAAGGATAAAAAAAGAACATCATTTTACCACATTCATATAGAAAAGAACACAAATTGATATATTTCTAGAATTGGGATTTTCTTTACTCAGACCTGCAACTGCAGTTGAATCGTTAAACATTACTAGAGCTTTACATTTCAAGACACAAGCTACGCTCAGCTAATTTACTTGACACTAAAGGGAATACAATAGTTCTACAACAAGTTGTAACAAATATATTCTTGGATCTTGAAAGTTTTGACCTACTTTCAACTAACTTACTTTTACATGAAGTCGTCCAGATTGAAGGACATCGTTATCTAATAACGAGCAGCATGAAACTGGGGGTTATAAATTATGTGATACAGATTATAAACAAGATGTATCATTCTCGTAAAAACAGGGGAAAAAAAAAAAGGGGGGGTTAGTTCAAGATTTATGCCTCTTCCAGGAATCACGATGATTCAGCTGAAGCATTGGACCGAGCTTTCTCATACAAGCGGTATATCAATGTAGACTTAGACATTTGAGGTTCCCTTTCTAGGACAGCGATCACATCCTTTACAGTAATACTGCGAGCAATCCTAGTCTGGGTTATCACTTGATTTCTCCCAGCTCTTCTCACAGCACCTATAGAAAAGAGAGTAGTCCAAAGAAAGTAAGATAAATGCTCAAAAGTTACAGCAGCTAATGGTTAGTGGACAGGCTAAACCTGAGTAACACATTAAACAAGAAATATCAACCATATGTCCTGAATCAACAGAGGAACAGTAATATCACATTCCAAGATCATAAACACTTCAAGCCTTACAAAAATAATTACTATTGTCCCTTAATCCCAAGCAAGCTATGGGTCTGACAGAACCAAATAGCTTTGGCCTACACCCAATATGTCTTAAGAAATCGGCTAAATGTCGGGGGGGTCCATAGTGTAAGCTATGGGTTCGACCAAATCCAGTAGCTATAGCCTAGACCCTATATATGTGTTAACAAAATCCATTAAATATGTACACGTATTAAATTTCGAACCCGGATATTAGCACTTGAGATTGCTGTCCTAGAATAAAAAATGACGACCCAGTAAAATCTCACTAGTGGGGTCTAGGGAGGGTACTGTGTACGCAGACCTTACCCCTACCCCGAGGGGTAGAGAGATTGTTTCCGAAAGAGCCTTGGCTCAAGAAGACGAAAAAAGACAATATCAGTATCACCAACAGAGACCAAATGAATAATAACAACATCATAAAGACCAGAAAATAGATGAAACGCAAAAGCGATAGCCAGTAAAAAGACCCTATGAAAACGAGAGAGTAGTGAGACACCACAGTAGCCACTAGCAGTCTAAGACAAGAATCCTATCAGACTAACCCCACATAGGTACGAAGTAGAAATAGACTCAACTACCTCCTAACCTACAACCCTAATACCCGTCCTCCACAGCTTCCTATCATGGGCAATGTCCTCGGAAATCTGAAGTCTCGCCATGTCCTGTCTGATCACCTCTCTCCAATACTTCTTAGGCCTTCCTCTACCTCTTCTCGTGCCCTACAAAACCAGTTGTTCCCACCTCCTTACTGGAGGATCTGGTATAGTGGAAACATTTTGTTATGGTGGAGAGTGGGGAGTGAAAAAACTAACGGGCTTCTCCTCTGTACGTGCCCGAACCATCTGAGCCTCGCTTCCTACATCTTGTCATCAATGGGAGCCACGCCCACCTTCTCCCGAATAACATCATTCCTAATCTTATCCATCCTAGTGTGCCCGCACATCCACCTCAACATCCTCATTTCTGTCCTAGAGTCCTAAACTCATAAAGTTCAAATGGATCCGCTTCTGGCTACATCCCAGGAGGAAACTCTGGAAACATCTAAAATGCCAAAACTCTGAGCTTGCCACGAGATTGCTCGGGAGGAAATTTATCACGTTCAATGCTAGGATACTCTTTGCTGATCCAAATACCCAGAGATCTCATTCTAGTATTTTTCAACCTCCCTCCCAAGTTTTAGTTGCTCGAGTTCATTCTAGTCAGGATGTCTAGTGGATTACTTTCTTCGGATCAAGTAAAATGAGAAAATTTCATTTAAGTCCGGATGCAAAAGTTACATCAGCTGAGCAAAAAAGGAGTTGTAGCTCCTGTGATGAACCTAACCTGTGGTTACTAGTAGTAATTCAAGGAGCTAACAAAATCCATAAATTTATCTAGACTATTCGCATTTTTAAGTTTACACCAGCAAAAAAAAAAAACTCATTAGGGATCTAGCTTTAAGTTTGTATAGAGGGGAAATGGCACCCTCAAAACATCTAGGTTTCATTGTTTCCAAATACTCCAAAAAAGACACACCAGCACCCTTTTTACATCTTCGTTTTGTCGCCTTTCCTACTCTCTGGAGGCCCCAGCTGGCGTATGCTTCATTAATGGTATAGGGCATTACCCAGCTCACCCCAAAGAGGTTAAAGAACATACTCCAAATGTCTCTGGCAGCTTGAAAGTGGAAGGGATAAATGGTTGATGTTTTCTGATTCTTGTAGAGACATGTTGCACTTGCTGGTTACTGCATAGTATTATTCCCCATTTTGCAAGGTTATCATGAGTTAAGCAAGCTTCCTGGATTGCTAACCAGCTGAAACAGGCTCTCTTTGTCGAAATTTTGACTTTCCACACATGTTGTCATGAGTTCAGCAAGAGGGAAAATATTTGAAATTATAACTTTCTATATCTTCAAATCTCTGAAAATTTCTTTCAAACAATAATTTATCTATGGCTTAACATTCTTCCAGAATTTGGTTAATTTCACTATCATAGAGCATAAGGCTGCATGCATTATTGAACAGGGTATAGTTTTTTTTAAATAAAAAATATCTACTTTTGAGGACATTAAAGAAACCTTCCTTGAAAATTAAGTAATGAGAAAACATAAAGATACCCCTTTGAAAACCCAATTAAGCTATTAGACTGGTGGAAGACAGGTATAAGCATAGCACATAGTATTTCACCAAGCATCCTTCAAGAGCCCCTTCCATTGATCAGGCACCTTTTGACAGATACTTAGAATTAATTTCAAACGTTAAGAGTCTAGATAATGATTATTCATTAGAATACGTGGATATGGTGGTTTATGCAAAAGAAAGGCAAAACTGTGATTTCAAACAATGTGTGATTCAGGATCATATCAATCATGCTAACCAAAGTCATAACTGCATATAAACAAACATCATCAATATTCAGAATGCTAGTCATATGAATCTCGGAACTAGGTCCAATAACGGATCATCATCATACATACCAGGTGTGACTTTTGCAGATGACTGACTCCTGTTCTCAGCTTCTTGATGGTCCTTTGAGGTTCTTGTGGGAGTCGATAAATTCCTCCGAGTCACATCTTTACTAGGCTGTGAACCAGAAGCCACATCACCTCCCCCTTCACGCTTTTGCCTGGCCTGCTCAGCCATCAATTGCCACTTTGACAACATGTCATCCCCTCCAACAGCAGCTCGAGCAGCAACATTTGCAGCTGTAGTTCGCATCTTATCATCTTCTTCCTTGTTTGCCTGCAAAGATACAATAAGTTGAGAAGGATCAAAGTCATGAAAGAAATTACTTTGTGATACTTTTTTACAAATTTTAAAACTATCTAGAAAAACAAAAGTGTGCAAGGGAGAGTACGCACCTTTATTGATTTCCCACGACCATCATCCTTCTCCTTATCACCGTCAACTCCATTACTACCTTCAGGCTGATATCCACGTCATTAAGTAACAAACTTCCCAAAATTAACATTGACCAGTAGATAATTAGTTGACGTATGCTCAAAGTGGAAAGAAGGATAACTCACTTCATTTGCCTTTTGGAGTTTTTCCACATCAGCCTGTTTCTTTTCCCATTCTTCCCGGGCTTTTCGATTGATTGACAGGATTTCTTCACGAACATCTGAAGTGACAATTGTTCTGTGTCTTGACTTCTCTATGTCAACTCTCTACAAAAAGCAGATCTCCATCTCAGGTTCATATTAGAATCCTATAACTTTTCAGATAGCATATTTTAGAAAAAAGATAACCCAGCAGAATGTTAACCTGTTTTGACAGTCTGATGAGACTACTTATAAGTCCACGCATTCTTTCCTCCACACACTGGAAGTTGAAAGTTTAGTGGCACAAGCATTTCCCAAAATAAGTAAGACAACAAAAAAGGGTCATATCTCACCAATGACAAACATCGTTCCACATCATTGCTCATATTCTTTAAACCACATTTTGCCACTGCCAGACACAGAATCAGGTAAGCAATAAAACATAGTGATTCAGTTAGGAAGATGACTTACTTTATCATGTAACTATACAATACCAAGTTGCATATCAAAAGAGTAAAGAACTAATAGAGGGATTTAACTGATTTCTGTCAATTTCTTCTGAAGTGGAATTTTCTGCAAAATCAGCTTTTCCTCTTCTTCTTGCACAACTCGTCGAGATGCTTCCGAAACTCGACTGTCCTCCTTGGGCCCAGAAAATAGTTGTTCTTCCTCTTCCTGTTTTATGCATTACAAAATAATATCAAGCTAGTACGAAATACTTCTGAATAACTGTTTTAAACAACTTGTGATGAGCACAAAATGTATTCCACTGTGGGGAATCGAGGGAGGTATTACCCTTAGATTAACTCCACTAACAGCAGTAACATCATTAAGTTGTTCAATGCTCTGATCTAAAAAAGCTCCTGAAACCTTTTGCTTCTTCCTGTGAAATGTACAAATGAAAGAATACAAAGTGAAGTCAGTACAACAGACACAATAATGAGACATTATTCCAGCAAAACATCGCAGTAGAGGTGCTCAGAACAGTATACCCTGAAGGTGGAGGTGAGGAACCTAGCGTATCGAGGGGCTTCTTCTGTCCAATGGAAGGCTTTTTCACAGGAGTCTTTCCACTGTTTCCTGGCCCAAGTAGAGATGTCACAGAAGTAGTCCGAGAACTCAACTGATGCAACAAAAAGTGAAAGAAGAAAAGCAACAGTGAAAAGCATGGAGATAATAAAGTGCATCTAATCGACAACTTCAAACAAATACCAGCAAGACAAAAACATGAAAATTCAGAAAGGAGCACAGAAACGTGCAATCAAAAATATTGCAAGTGAGAAATAAGATATATGATGACGAACAAAGTGACTGCCAGGAACAGATCTCATGTTGCCAATCATCTGGCAGATATAACTTTTCACGTTCACTTTGACCCTCAGTGGTGAGGGCGTTGTGAAAAAACATCAATACTTTCTACTTTAAACATTCCTATATTTCTGTTTAGCTGCCATGGGCTTTCCTTCATAACCCAGAAAAGAGAAAAATGTTCCAAGATACTAAAGGGACCTGAAGTGGATACAAGGTTCCAATAAGAGGAAATACTGATACTATCTATTCTATCTTTTCCTATCTGAAAACTTGGATTTGAGCAGTTCTTCTATAAAATATACACAAGTCTCACATAGACTGATAGACAAGCTATGTCTGGAAATATATGTATGTACAGTCGGCGGTCTCTATAACAACATCCAATATAACAACCATTCACTGTTAGCGGAAACGTAAAAGAAAGAACACAAGATTTAACGTGGTTCGGATCAAAATAATCCTACGTCCACCGGAGAACAGTTGCCTTTTTAATATTAACAAAGGAAGGGGAGAGTTCCCAATTACACTTAAAAGAATTTCTTTCTTAACTCTCTACTCACTACAATGTGTTGTATTATTTTTGGGATGATTTCTACAAATGAAGGAGTGCATCTATTTATAGAGGTAAAGACCTCCTCTTGATGTCATTGGTGACATCAAACTACCTCCTCTTGATGTCATGGGTGACATCAAAGGAGGAAGCTTCCTCCTAGCATCCACACCAACTCTTTCCACCAACTCTTCCAATTGGCATGCCATTGTTGACTAAACATAAACCAACATCTTCAATCTCCACCTTGGTTTGCGTTTCGAGCGTGCGTGTGAACAACTCTGGCCAAAACTTCTAAGCTTACTGGGCAACCCCGTTGTAAGAAACAAGAAGAATCAAACCATTGTTGAACATACCACCTCCACCTAACAACTGTTCTCTTCGGAGTTGCATCAGTTGATGCACACCCCCGCCAAGTCCTTGCAGTGTGCAAACTTAGCGAGTGGGACTATCTTGGTCAACATATCTGCAGCATTATCGTCTGTGATAACCTTCACGACCTTGATAGTTCCCTCTTCAACAACATCTCGAATAAAATGAAATCTGACATCAATGTGTTTAGTGCGCTCATGAAATCTCTGATTTTTCATTAGAGGAATAACACTCTGACTATCACATCTAAGAGTTGATTCCAGCTGAACCAAACTCAATTCTACTACTAAACCTTTCAACCAGATAGCTTCCTTCACCGCCTCCGCTGCTGTCATGTATTCTGCTTCTGTCGTAGACAAAACGGCAATCGACTGCAGAGTCGACTTCCAACTAACGGTACTGCCAACAAGGGTAAAGATGTATCCAGTTGTGGACCTTCTTCAGTCAAGATCTCCTGCATAGTCAGAATCTACATAACCGAGAATTGAAATACCTCCACCACTTTTTCGAAAGGTCAGACCAACACCAGAAGCTCCTTTGAGATATCTCAATATCCACTTGACAGCTTCCCGATGCCTCTTTCCTGGGTTGGACATGTATCTACTTACCACACTTACAGATTGAGCAATTTCTAGACGTGTGCATACCATAGCATACATAATGCTACCAACTGCACTGGCATAAGGAATCTTTGACATATGCTCCACCTCATCCTCGGACTGAGGCATTTGTAGCTCTGAAAGTTTAAAATGAGAAGCTAATGGTATACTTACATGCTTGCACGTATGCATATTGAATCTCTTGAGAACCCTTTCAATATACCTCTTCTGAGAAAGATGTACAACACCGTCTTCTCTTGAAATCTCCATACCAAGGATTTTCTTTGCAGCTCCTAAATCCTTCATGTCAAATTCCTTACTCAACAGTTTCTTCAAAGCATTTATCTCTGTAATGTTGTTAGCA